AAAAAAAAAAAAAATTAAAGAGAATTGATTGAAAAATCAAACATCGATAGTGTGATTTTTTTGTATACTATATCATGTTCGATTTAGTGTTTTTTTTTATGTACGATAGTGTGATTTAATTTCAAAATTTCATAATTATGTAGGTTTTTATGTTAATGGACGGTTTTAATGACTAGCACGAATGCACCGTTCATCATCTCTGTACAAAGTTTGAATTGGCTTGAAAGAAGAATGTAAAGGCGACGAAAAAAAATGAAACGGAAGATTCTATTCCTAAAGCATCGTATAATAAAATTGGCAAATTAGATATGACAACTAACGTAGCATTTCGACGCTCAAGTCAGTGATCACAGATAGAAAGAAGATGGTAAAAATCAAATCTGAATGTTTAGAGCAAGAGTGATCGTAAATGAAAAGAAGGTGGTAAAAATCAAATCTAGAATGTTCAGAGCAAGAGTGATCGTAAATGAAAAGAAGGTGGTAAAAATCGAATCTTGAATGTTTAGAGCAAGAGTGATCGTAAATGAAAAGAAGATGGTAAAAATCAAATCTAGAATGTTCAGAGCGAGAAACTTCAATTATACCACATCCCTTTATACATGATCATTTTTTTCGCTCGTGTTGACTCACATTTTTTTATCCTTATTGCCCAAGCATTCTTGGTTACCAAGAACCGTTCTTATTTGATATGTTCACGCTCATTCATATCTAATTGTGCCCACATATTTTATTTGGTCATGTTCGTAGGTCACTTATGCATAGGTCGACTTTCTAAGGTCAGTAGGTATTCGTAAAGTGTTGTCAACTGCCTGAAAATAATACTTATTCATCATCGGGGCTTCGTCCCAAATGATCAACCGACATCGTATAATCAGATCGATTGACGGACTCTGCTGGCTAATGTCACATGTCGACGCTTCAGTTGGGTTTATCGGGGTTCGGAATCGTGAATGGACAGTCTGGCCGCCGGAAGCAAAAGTGACGCGATACCGCTCAATGCAACGTTCAACACAATTTCACCCTTCAACCTCAAACCAGAAGACAACGCGCTATAGATATATGTTTTACCGGTGTCGCCGTAACCATAAACAAAAAAGATGCATCCGTGGCTACAGTAAATCGAGTCCATAATTGAGTCATAACATTGCGCTGCTCATCAGTCATGTTGGCAACCAATTGCTCATTCTCAATCGATAGTGCATGACGATCGTAATTCAACTCGTCCATCACAAGTCTGTTCGTGGACGCCTCATTACGATCGAGAATAGGAAACGACATTGTACCATAGTCACGTAAACTCATCCCAAGTCGCCGCAAAATCTTTTCGACCTCTGCCAAAGCGAGATTCTTTATTACCTCATCTCTCATGACCAATTCTGTAACAATGAAAGTACAAGAAAAAAGTACAAAGATAAAACATATAATAAGTAAATATAATAAATACATACAAAAACAATTAAATTTGTTACCTGGGTGGTGTAAAAGCCTCCGACGGTTATGCAGTATGTCATCCGATAGGTAATGCCAACATGCGTCCCACACAAACTCCGGTCGACCAAGAGTATCGGAGGAAAGAGAGAGTTGCAAAAAGGTTCCTCAAAGAACTTGCGGTCGCCCATTGGCTTGCCTCAATAATGCCTTCTATACACTCATTGTCGTCCTCCACCAAACCGAGGGCAAAACACGCTGCGCGATACGAATCGTGTTGGACGCCATTCAACTTCATATAGTCAGGATGGCATGTTGCACCTCGAACAACATTTATAAGGCACCTAAAGTAAAATATATCTCCAGCTACAAACGCGCAATCCGATCGCTTCCTTTCCTAGGCTCCCAACTTTGCGTTTTCGAATGCCACGTAAATTTAGTGGGAGCCTCGACATATGTAAGTTCTCTAGCAGAGGGATACTTCTTGTTGGCCTCCATCCAAGCTAAGAATTTGCTAACGCGCTTTTTATTTTTATTAACCACTTGATCGATCGGAACTTCATCATCATAGTAGCAAGGATGTTCGTTTTCGCGGTGAAAATTCAAGCGCTCCACTGATGGCCATTTGTACTGAATCTCAAACTCCAACAACCGCCATGCAGCCTCACAAGATAAAACATACCGGCAATCATAGTACATCTTCACCTCGTCAACTGGCCTGTTAAAGGACTCAGCTCCATTTGACTCGTAAAAGGTAGCAGTGACGCGATCATTCCCCTTGTTCACGTACTTGAACAAATATTTGATGGACCTCGACTGGTTGCACCATTCCAATTTATGTGCGCGCCGTACTTAAGGAGCATTTTTCTACTATGAGGCACAACATATCTGTTATCTAGAGGAATGTCGTTCTTCTCTATGGTCCTGCCATTATCACGACGCTTGTATCGTGGATAGCCTTCCTCATCCAGGGTCGTAGTTTCAGAGAACTTCTTTGGAAAATTCTTTGTGCAACAATCATTAAACATACACGGAAATTGTGGACGGACAGTTCCGCAAGGGCCGTGCATCATATGATCTCTAACGACAGCATAGTATAAGGGATCGGTGGCCTCATCTGGTATTTCGGCAGATATTATTTTGTCTATGCCATCAGTGGTCTGAATTTTGTGTGCTTTGGCAAGGAGTATCAAGATATGGGCATGTGGAAGTCCATGTTTTTGGAATTCAATCGTGTATATAGCTGCAAAAAAAAAAANNNNAAAAAAAAAAAAAAAAAAAAAAAAAAAAAAAATCCTGGTAAAAAACAATACATAGAACACAAAAGATTATAAATTTAAATACATTAAATTAAAAAAAAAATATTAAGTACATGCATTCACGTCACCAAACATCTTGTTATGTCGAACATCCCTCATCAGAACGTCCAACTTAGCCTCAAATACCCAACATATTATGTCAGGACGATCCTCGGGTTTGAGATTCTTGTTATCGAGAAAACGACTGATTTCTGGCCACTTAGGGTTGCAAGTGAAGGTTATGAATATATCAGGATAACCGGTCCACCGATATATGGCCATCGTGTCCAGATAGTTCTCAATCATATATCTCGCGCCACCCGTAAAGGACGAAGGCAGTATAATCCGTTTACCTTGAGAACCAAGATCGGTGTCTCCTCGCAACACAACATCCTTAAGACGGTTGTACAATTCGGTTCTAAGTTATGTTTGGTTAAATCAGATATATCTTATCCGAGCTCCTTCGACCATTGTATACGCGTCCACAACGAACTGCTGATACAACCTCTGAGCTTAGAGGATAGAAGACAATTCGTTGTCACAGTCGTGCATTCGATATTTGAAGAACTCCAGTGAACTGATAAATTTCCTCGAAGTCTTCGTAACCGATTTTAGGACTGAAAATGGAATGTCCTCCTGGAACCATCCTTGCCATATGGAAAAAGAATAGGATTATGGAGAGCTAAATAGGAAGCGTTCAACACGTTGATACGCTGCAAATGTCCGCTAAAATAATAAAAATGGGAAGATTACATAAAGATTTTATAATAAATAGATAACTAAAATTAATATTAATATTCGGTAATTTACACTTACCGAAAATCTACAAGAAGAATATCAATAAATCTCTTCTCTACACCTCTCGACATTGCTTTTTGTACGCTTCGCATGAACACGACTCGGCCAATGACATCTAGAATTCCATATAAACGTACCTTTGGAAATAATTTAGTGTAAGAAAAGTCTAAATAAAAAATTATAAAGTATATAAATGTTACCAATTAGCCTTGAGGAGTCGATGTAAGATGGATCCGCTAGATCACCGTGTAAAGACATAAAATTTGTGTCCAATCAAATGATGCCAAGTGGAAATTAATTTATTAAAAATCAAATTATATTTTCTATTTATATTTTAGGAATTTTCATATATTTAATTCCTAAATTTAAATAGTTAATTAATTGATATTTTAATATTTTAATTCTTGACCAATCAAATAATGCCAAGTGTCAAATCTTATTCTTGGTAAACAAATCATATCTTCTAGAAGATCTTGGAAGATTTAAGTGGATCTTGAAGATCTTATGTGAATCATCATGGACCAATCAAATTGCGTCCTACGATTCTTAAATTTGGTAAGGATCTCCCTCCTACACCTATAAATAGGGGCTCTCCCTAATGTCAAAAACACATCATAATTCATATTTTGAAGTTAAGAGCTCTAGAGAATTATCTCTACAAGTTTCAAGTGTTCTTGGAGTTTCAAAGCCGTTCTTGAAAATTCGAAGGAAGATTCAAGCACATTCAAGCTCAAAACCGACGTTTAATCCGGAAACAAGCTGTCGAGCCTCCGAATTGCGTTCATATTCAAGTTCAATTTCAAGATCTCTCGACGAGATTCAAGTGTTCTTGAAGATTTAAAGGCGTT